ATATTTGTAAATAAAATATTAAAAGTCAAATTCTAAATGAGGTCGTGACCGTCAGATCGGCACAGATTCAATCTGGGCTGTTGGGCTCATATGTTCATTTGAGCTAGTGGGCTATTCTCATCATTTTTATTATATATATATTATTATTATTATTATGGAAAAATTTTATATGAGGATGCAACCTTATAATGTAGAACTACGGATGCACCTCAAAAATCTATCGGAAAAGGTAGTTTTAATATTGAAGAACCCTTTGATTGAGCATCTCGACATCGAAATGTATGACCATGAAAAATAAAAAGATTTTAAGTCTTAAAAATAGTGTATTTTGTAACATATTATCTACACTGTCCATTTTCAAGATTTTCATTTGTTTATATATCTACTTGATTTTATCCATTTTTAAATTTAAAATTTTATAATTAGATATAAAAATAGATTTTGAGATAATCCTAAGAACACTTTACATTAAAATTATATACCATGATAAAATTTGAAGGTGCATCTTACCTCTACAGCTACAGATGCACTGCACCCATATATTATTCACCCCAACATAACCCTTTATATAATATCTATAATATTTTTAATTTTAAAGACCTAGTCCCCATTTTGGATCATATTGTGGAACTGATCGGACCTAGATTCGGATAGAAATCTTTTGGATAGTTTTCAGATTTGGATCCGAATCCATTCTTGATCCGATCGGACCGAATCTAGACTCGGATCCCAACCCGATTCAAAAAATTCTCAACCCTAATCATAGAGTGCTTCAACACTCACATGAGTGCATGTGTATAGTATTAGAATCCAAACAAATATAAAAGAGGTCATGTCCTCTTTACTTGGTAGTTTATTTCGTTTGCATGAAATGATGGATTTCAGTTATTTAATACCTTAAGACCCGCCTGAAGTTGAGGTTAAAAGGCACACAGTTATAGTGGCCTATTCAATAGTTTATACATTAGGGAAGTGCTGATGTAAATATTACATATATTATCTTCTTGAATGTTGTGATAGCATATATTATTACTAAGTGGAACAAATTATTGCATATGTATACATTTTGTTTACTCTTATTTACTATGAAGGTTAATTGGAACGTGTTGTAAACTTTATATTAGAATATGGAAATTTTAAAATATAGGTTAATTCCTAAGGTAACTTAAAATGGTGAATCCTTGTAACTTTTTGTGGTCAGAGCTCTAACTCTTGGACTCGGATTGTTTTGAATTCTACCTTTTAAAAGGTGGGCTATTCTTGAGATCTTTTTGATTGTTTGCAAATGGGTGCTGTTAGAGCAAGGTCTAGGATTCACATTAAAAATACAGTCTCACCTTAAAATCATAATATGATTCTAAAGTTGAAATCTCAAGTGTGGCTTGAATATCTACTTTCCCTCCTAATTAGGAATTTTGAAATTTAAAAACTGGTGTAAATTTGGGGGATATGTGAATATTTGAGGATGGACAATCCAAATATGTGTTACAAAACATAATATTTTTAGGACTGAAATTCATTTATTGATAATATATTACAACATACACTATTTTTTGGTTTGAAATTCATTGATCCATATTAGTTGAGTTTGAGATGATCAATTTAATCTTTTTAAAGAGGGCAATCCTAAGCTAACATTTTCCTCATTATAATCTTATAAAACATTCTTCAAATCCTACGAAAGATTTAAATACTGGGAAATCGATTGACATTTATGCGCTCTTCCATTTAATAAAAATATAGTTGGTATTTTTATTTTTTATTTATAAATTCAAGCCAAATCTAGGGCTATTAGTTGGGCAACATCTCATAGTTGTGGTATTAGTTAGTTTGCTCAAGATTGGGACACTAAATAAATAGAGTTAGTTGCTTATTAGTTTAGTGCAGGAGAATAACTTTATCAATGAAGGAATATAGTTTGGAAGTTATTTATCTCAATCTTTTTATAACTTGTATTTTTATAGGAAATGCTGATGGCACCCACATGTTTTTAGTCAAAATCGGGCACCACTTGACCTTTCTAAAGAGGAAAATTTCATAAATTCAATGTGACTAACTCAACTAACTTAAGGCCTTCATACTCCATGCTAAAATTTCAACAATATACTCTTCTTGAAAGGAAAGCAATAGTTCTAATTTAACCAATAATGTGTTTCTTTCTTTGGAAGAGGGTGGACAAGGGTTTTTGTAAAGGATGCAACCTAGTTTTTCTGATAAAAAGTACAATATCACCTCATGACCCACCAAATTATGAATTTTTGGCCCTATAAATCTTAATGATGGCTGAAAAACTATTTTAACCTCTTGTTACGAAATTTGCAGATAAGACATAATACATATCTAAAAAATTTATAAATTATAAACACTTGGAAATGAACGGCCTAGATAATTTATTGTACGATACACTATTTTTAAGACTTATTATTTAAAAAATTTATCTCATATCCATGATTCTTGAGATCTAGATGATCAATTTTCGGGGTTTTCAGGGTCTAAACTCAATTTTTTATGAGGTTTGAGGTGTACAATGTGACTATTTAATTTTGAAACAAGGATGTCACAATTACTGATAACCATATGATGTGAAATCTAATAGCTTTGGTGTTCTATAAAGTTCGAAAAAATTTCTTTTGAACTTTGAGTTTGATCAATAAAGTAAATGAAACCATCCGATTTCACGTTCAACATTAATTGTGATCATAGATAAATGGTCTCAATGTATACTTTTCCAATACAATATTAGCAAATCAAATGCATTATTTCCAAGTTTGGATATTTAATAAAATCAAAATGGGAATAATAATAAAAAACTAAAATACATCGTAAGGGACTCCTTGCAAGTTTGGGTTGAGAATTTACATGGAAGATCTTCCACACAACAACTTGCAATTCTAATAGCTAATTGCCATTTGGGTCTTCTAGAAGGTCACATGTGACCATTCATGTTGTTCTTTTTATTTAGAGTCAGTTTGGAGGTTATGTGGTAGTTAGCTTTCTAAATTCTTATCCCTCATGATGTAAGCCTTACATCCTGCACTAGTGCACATGCCATGATTCTCTCTCTATGTCTATCTCTCTCTCTCTCTAACATTATCTTGCCCTGAAAACCAGGCCACGGAAAAGCCTAACAAAACCCTAGAATTGCTATAAATATATCCTCTTCTAATTCAGTGACCTCAACAGAAACCAGTTCCCCATGGCAAAACCCATATATTTTCCATGTGGGCTTTTGGTGGGCTTCCTGCTTCTTTCCTCTCTCTTCTCCACATCCCTTGCATCTCCACAAACTGGCCTTAAAAGGCATTCTCTGTTTATCATCCCATCATCATCCCCCATTACATCTCAACAAAAGGGTCCATTTTTCTCCCTCACCCCATCAGTATGTCTTCCAAAAACTAACCATAAAGGCTGGTTTTTCTCTCTCATCTCATCAATCTTTCCATCTCAAAAAACCAACAAAAAAACAGAGTCTTTCTCTCTCATCCCATCATTCTCTCCATCTCCAAAAACCAACAAAAAAATGCAGTTTTCCTCTCTCATTCCTCCATCTTCTCTTACATCTCAAAAAACCAACTATAAAACCCACTCTATAGACCTCATAAAACCATCCCCTGCACCTTCAAAAAGTACCCATAAATCAAGATCTTTATCAGCAACGGTTACTGGCCAAAGCATGATTTCTCAATTTCTTGTCCCTCAGAACAAAATTAGAGCCCAAGTTGGCCTTCCACCATTAAAATGGAGCACCAAGCTTGCAAACTATGCAAAATGGTGGGCAAATCAAAGGAGAAGAGGCTGTGCTCTGATTCACTCCAATGGTAAATATGGGGAAAACATCTTCTGGGGTGGTGGCAAAAGTTGGGGACCAGCTGATGCTGTCAAAACCTGGGCCTCAGAGAAAGTATATTACAATCATCAGAGAAATTCATGCCAAAGTTATGAGGAATGTGGCCATTACACACAGATGGTGTGGAGAAAGAGCTTGATGGTTGGGTGTGCTAGGGTTATATGTAACAGTGGTGACACTTTCATCACTTGCAACTATGACCCTCCTGGTAATTACTTTGGGGAACAACCATACTAATTATGGTCTCCCTCTCTCTCTCTCTCTCTCTCTCTTAAGAGAGTGGATGATGATGATGATGAAGAGAATGGATCTCTTACAATCTACTGTGGCTTTGCTTTCCTGTAAACTAAAATCTTGGGCTCAAGGTGTATGTAAACACTTGAATGTATCATCTATAAAGCCAAAACCTTTTTTTAATGTGCTTTATTTATTTGAGGGGAATTTTTTATGAGATTGTATACTATGAGAGTATTTATCTTTCGTACAAGGAGAACCCAACTATTTATCTTTCTTACAAGGAGAACACAATTATTTAGGTTTCTTACAAGGAGAACACAACTATTACAAGGAGAACACAATTATTAAAAACGGTTAGATGTCAAAATGGATGGCTTGAGGTGTCACACAAAGTTCGAGAATTTTTTTATTGAACTTTGAGTCTAGTCAGTAACATACTCACAACTATCCGATTTGAAATCTGATGGACGAAGCGATTATGACCTCGTTATGTTAAAAAGTAAATTATCTCTTTGTAAACTTTTTCTTTATAAAACTGCACTTGAACTCTTTCACGTTTTATCCTTATCTTTTTAATTTAATTCTAAAAATCCATCGAAATACACATGATCATGAGTTGGAACAATTGAAATAAAAAAAAAAAAAGAGTAAAAACATAATGAAGTTTTAGCTTAGGTAATTTAATTTAGAGTAAAAAATAATACTGTAATTAGGTAGTTTAATTACAGCTGCTCAAAAAATCAGAGGCAAAAAATCCTGGAAAAGATTGTCAAAAGTTAGGTAGTTCAAAATATCATGACATTTTAGATCTCAGTCAAAAATATGGACTGAAAAAATATATAAGTATGTCAAATAAAATAAATTTATGATTTTGCAGTTATTTTGAAGTAATTAAACAGTAATTTATGCCATGATTTGATTGCATTTAGGGTATTTCGCTAATTATATGTCAAGTTTACATCAGACATAACAGCATAATATGTTTCCTCTACTGTCATGATATAAAAATATAATGCTCTTAGTGGGAGCAATAAATGAAAAAACAACAAAACTAAGCACAATAATTACATTAACAAAAACAACAACCTGAGGTATATGAATACTGCTAGAAAAATCCAAAGAACTCAACACATGATTGTAATTAACAAAGACACAAGAACCAAATATCTGAAAGAATAGTATATCCGTATTGCATACACAAATGAATAGCAAAAAATCCATAGAAGGTGAAGCTGAGCAAACTTAACATACGGTTGTCTGCGCTGCGTAATATGCGTAAGCAGAGATATAGATTTGAACTTCACCCTTGATTCTCAGTTATCTGAATGTGCTGTGACTGCATCACTCTCTCGTTGTCTCTGCAATGGTGCTCTCGGTTTAAAGACGAAAGACATAAACTTTGTAAAGATTTTTAATAAAATTAGAGTTTCTAATGCATTTCGAAAATAGGAATTTTTTTTTTTGTTGAAAAAATCATGTTTTAATTAGAGAAATACTAACTATTACTAAAGTTAACACCAAGAGTGCAGAAAAAAAGGGAGGACTAAACTCACCATGAATCATACTTGTTCTCCCACTTCCAAGACCTTGGACACACTTTCTTCATTATCCAATACTCTCATTTCACACTGATAATTCCTCTAGTTCTCATAGATATAAACAGGGTTGTAGCTCTTATAAAACACACACCATTTTCCCAAAACAAGCATCGTGATAACGAAGCATATATATAGATGAGCAATGGCCCCTCCAATAGGGAATTCATCTCAAAATAGCAAGAAAAATATGTGCTTAGAAAAATGGAAAATTGTTTCATGCGGGCTGGACCGCATTTCTACAAATGCGGTCTAAAAAGTGTAAAGCATCCATCTAAAAGATGGATGCAAGTACGTATTCCATCAAAAAACAATGGAAACTAACGGTCTAAATGTTTTCTTAGTAGAATTATTATTTTTAGTTTTTAAAATTTATTTATATTTTCATATTCACGATCTCCATGTTATAGATTACATGTCCTTAAAAATTCAGTTTTAAAATTCATCTAAAAAATAGATTTATTAAGAGGCCCTCATTTCTACGTATGCAGGTAGAAACCGGGTCCTAGAAAAATAAAAAGAAAAATTATAAATACCCCAATTTCAACTTTCTACACATTTTATCCCCCAATATTTTTTGTATTATGCCCTAAACCTCAACACTATTTTCCTTATATTTGATCTCAGTCAAATATTCAAAGCATTATGTGACCTGCCTTTTTTTTTTTTTCCTTGTATTTGACCTCAGTCAAATAGTCATAGCATTCTGAGACCAAAATGCCCTTTTTCCCTCTCTTTCCTTTTTTTTCTCTATTTGTCCTTTTAGACATGTGCCTTTTTTCCATCTCTTCTCCTTTTTTCTCTCTTTGTCATTTTAGACATATGCCTTTTTTCGCTCTATTCCCCTTTTTTTCTCTCTTTGTCCTTTCACTTTTTCTCTCTATCTCTCTCCACCAATCCTCTCTTGCTCTCTCTACCCTCCCTCACTATCTCTCTCTACCCTCCCTCATTCTTTCTCTCTCTACCACTCACATGCCCATAATGCGGTTCGACACATGATCTGCATGACCGCATTGCATTCGAGTAACATTCACATGCTGATAATGCGGTACAGCTCCGGCTTGTGCCGAATCGTATTATGGGCATGTGAGTGGTAGAGAGAGAAAGAATGAAGGAGGGTAGAGAGAAACAGGTGGAGAGAGAAAGAGAGAAGACTTGTGAGAGTTTGTTTTGGGTAAGTAGAGAGAAAGTTTGAGAGAGAAAAATTTTAAAAAATATCTTGAAAAGGAGAAGAGAGAAGGAAAAAAGGGGAATAGACAAGGAAAAAGGGCATTTTTGTCTCAAAATGCTTTGACTTTTTGACTGAGGTTAAATAAAAGGAAAAATAGTATTGAGATTTAGGATATAATCCAAAAGAGATTTAGGATATAATCCAAAAAATATTGGAGATAGGATGTGTAAAAAGTTGAAATTGAGGGGTATTTATAATTTTTTTTTTTTTAAAAAAGGAGCTTCAGCCACCCTGTAAATTTTTTTTTTGACAATGTTATTTAAATCTTATTAATCAAAGAAAAATTACAATATCTCGAGCAATTAATAAGGTCATCAACAACAATAAGGGATAGCCAGTAATTAAACTAGGGCTTCAATTGTAGCACAACTAAGGTTAGTGTGCAAAGAGATTAAGAGAACCTAGCCACCTTAATCCTCATTAATATAAGAGAAATTTATCTATCAAGAGATCTACTGTTTATTATTCCACCCATTTTCTATCATATTTTTAGATAAGTAATGATCTTACGAGACCCTCCCGTATCCATGTATACATGACCCTAAAGGATCACTATTAAATTTAATATAGATCTCTAAAAAAATCAAGTCCCACACCTATGTGATATTTTTCTAGAGATCTGTGCCAAATATAACAGTAATCCCTTGGAGTCTTGCCTTATGTGCGAGGGTTTAATAGAATCATTCTTTTTTTTAGATTCTATTGGAGAATGCCAAAATGAATCATTAGATTGCAGTTTCCAATTTTGTCCCTCCCGGCCCAATGCTACCCTTTTTTCACATTTTGTGCCTCCCGGCCCAATGCCACCCTTTTTTCGCAATGTAGTAAACCCAAGCAGAAAAGAGGGGGACCACCAATACAAATTAAACAAATTTTAAAAATAATGAAGAAAATTCACGCGGATGCATGGAGGTACAATAAATATTAGGGTACATGATGCATTAATGGTTAACTCATGGTATAATAATGTGCGCGATGATACGGAAGTGACCTTTTCTCGGAGGTATATGGGGAGTTAGATTGACCATAATCTCACACTAAAATCGAAGCTACCTAAAAAATCTCCTGAAGAACAAATTTAAATTGTTTATTGGTTAAATAAATTAAATTGTTGCTCACATTATATATGAAGTACAATTCATTTAGAAATTTGTATTTGCCATCCACCCTCTCTATTATTTTTTTTTTTTGACAATCTCTCTCTTCTATCATCTCTCTATTTGCTATCCTCTCTCTCTCTGGCTTCATAATGTAAATGTGCTCTTTTTTGAATTGAAAATAATTGTATTTATTTCTTAGTTTAGTAATGAAATATAACCAAGGGTAGAGTTTATAACTGTGAGAAGAAGAGGGTTCTGAGTTCTTACTTCTGGCTCTACAAACCTAAACACAGGTTATGAAAGAGAGAAATGCAATATGAAGAATCCATGACTGAAAGAAGAGAAAATAATTTATCATCTGAAACTTGGAAACCTTTAGAATAGGATTTTCTCATCACCAGTAGATGATGAACCAAGAACAAATACAAATTACAAAACCCCAATGGATTCTCCATCATAAACAGTGGAACCCAAGCCCAAACTTAATCCCCAAAGCCCTAAAACCAGAAGGGTGCAAGAGAAACAAATCTTTTCAAAGACCACCACTTCTGTTCACAATATTACACCAACTCAAACACAACTCCCCACAGAGAGAGATCCCTCAGTCTTTAAGACACCCACCCAACCCCAATTTCTCTCTCCCCACTCTCTCTCACACAACAAAATCCCATCTTTTCTATCTCTCAATAAGGCTTCTGGCCCAACACATTGCCATGGGGATCATAGTTACATGTAATAAAAGTATCCCCACTGTTACAAATAACCTTTGCGCACCCAACCCTAGAGCTTTGTCTCCAAACCAACTGTGTATAGTGGGTGCAATCCTCATTGGGTTGACATGAATTTCCCTGATAATTGTAGTAAGGCCTCTCAGCCACCCAAGCAGCCACTGCATCAGCTGGTGTCCAATTTGGGCCACCACCCCAAAAGATATTCTCACCATAGTTAGTGTTTGAATGAACCAGGGCACAGTCTCCTCTCCTCTGGTTTGCCCACCATTGAGCAAAGCTTGCAAGATTTGTGTTCCACTGCAATGGAGGAAGACCCATTTGGGCCCTAATCTGGTTGTGAGGCACAAGCCATTGAGAGATAGAGCTCTGGCCCAGCAGGCGCCTTGGAGTCTGGTGGGGTTTAGGAGAGAGTTTTAGAGAGAGAAAGCTGGGAACTTGGTTGCTTTCATGAGAGAGAGTTAGAGAGAGAATGGTGTCATCTTGTTGGGTTTCTTCAGAGAGAATTGGAGTTGGGAGGCTTGGATCTTGGTGGGTTTTGTGAGAGGTTTTATGAGGGAGAGTTAGAGAGAGAAAGCCAGGGTCATGTGGGGTTTTATGAGAGAGAGTTAGAGAGAGAAAGGAGGAAAGGACCAGGAAGCTCACCAAAAACCTGAAGGATAGAAGCCTGAGAACTGCCATGGAAGAAGAAGAATAAGATTGTTTTTGAGTTTAACGAGGAGGGTTCTTTTGGATGACCATTTTGGGGTTGGGAAAGAGTGGTTTATATAGGGATTAGAGAGAGAAAATGGGGTTTTAGAATTGGATTAAAGTTAATGAGAGGAATCATTTCATGTGATTTCTGAAGCAATGGGAGTTAGTGGGCCTTGTGGCCCCAAAATACAAGGCTTAAAACACGTTGCAAGAACATGGAGTTTTGACTTTCAGTTATGGGATACCTGCCCAACTGAAAACGGGAGTGTTTTCTCTCTCTAGGTTTTGGGAGTGTTGCCTAGTTTTTCTCTCTCTAGGTCTCGTTATAAGTCTAGCTCGCACTTTTCAATGTTTTCATTTCTTCCTTAATTATTGTCAAGAATAACGTGCCCACTCGCGGAATTGTTTTATTTTCCATGAACATGATAGTGAAGTGTGGCTCTCTCTCCTGGATGTCATTTCAGTTCTCCCATTAAAATATTTTTGCATTAAAATTCATTCAAGGATCAACATATGGTACATTTAAAATAAGAGATCGTATACTTTGAGATCATTTATCTTTTCATATAAAAAGGTTACAACCAATCCTAATTATTAGATGTCCGATTGGATGACCTGGGTATATCATGAAGTTCAAATTTTTTCTTGTTGGGCTTTGAGTATAGCCACAAGTACACTAACAACTATTTGATTTGAAATTTGATGGCTCTTTGTATACATTTTTTTAAAATAAAAATAAAAAATTCAAATTTGAGTTTCTAAGCACTTAAATTGCCTGGTGCTTCACTTTCTCTGGTGCCTGAATGGATCCAGAGCCAGAGAACCTTGAGTGGGGGACCAATATTTGAAATCTTTAGAAGTGAACCGGAGATAACCTTAGATCTTTGAAAGCGAAACGGAGGTAACCTTAGCCGGAACGCTTCTCATCTGAACGTGGAGTTCATGCTCCCATTCTAATCAGGAAATGACTAGCTATGAGAACAAAGAGCCGGCCGAGAGGAAAAGTACAATTGGGTAATTCACTAGGAGATTGACTTAGAGAGAGTGTGATATCAAAAGATGATAAGATGAAAGAGAGTAGATTTACGTGGGCTAGGTTTTTTTGTTTTCGAAAATTAGTTACTAGGTTCAAGATATTACACCTTAAAAACTTGGGTTGTCCTATAAACCCTCTTAGTTTAGCTTTTATCTGAGGGAGCAAATGAACAGCATGCTCATGCGGGAGCTGGAAATTCTTTCACAAAATAAGATATCCAATCTTTCGGGCTAAAACAGGATGAATGCCACAATCTTTTATTTTTCTATGAATGATGCCGAATTCTTCTTAGCCACGAACCAATGCCAGAGCAGTTGTATTAAAAGGATCAATATGACTTCATTTCAAAGTACCAACCGTTATTCATTTGAGCATGAAAGACTTTTAAGGACTTTTATACTCAAGTTTCTCTAGTTCTCTTAAATAACAGATAGATTAATGATGCATTAATCTTTCTATTAATACATTAATCTTTCATAAACAAAATACATTGGGCGTAGGACCCTTTGCTTAAGAATATGGGCTATATGGATAGAGGCACTATTCTATTTTCTTGGGATTGATTCCCTTTATATATAAGGCCATAAGGGTTCCACAAAGAACTCGCTACATATTATTGGTACCCTTGGAGAACATAGTTAACTTTGTTAAGCAAAAGTGATGCTTTTGTGAGACATGATGGATGGATAAGACAATAAGACAAAAGTCACATAAAATTGGGATGGCATGTAATAAGGTTATTTATTTTATTACACGGATGTCACAATTATTTCTACTTATTAGATGTCAAATCGGATGGTTTGGGCTAACTACAAAGTTTGAGATGTTTTTTTTTTTTGAATTTTTGAGTCTTTTTAATGACACACTTACAACTACTTAATATAAAATTTAATGGGCAAAAGTAATTGTGACCTCTTTGTACAAAAAGTAAATGGTCTCTTCGTATACTTTTTCATTAAAATTCGACTTTTTTTCTCTCTTGAATTTGGATGCTGGCAACATTCACTTGCTCAGGCAAAACTTAACTCTAAGTATTTTTTAGACCCTGAATAGTTTGCATGTAAAATCCTCAACTAGATGCCAACCTCAAAAAAGAAAATTTTTATAGCCATGTTACATGCACTTAGAATGGCACTATCCTAAATTTTGAACTGAGATTGACCAATTTTTGAATTGTCAGATTAAGTGTTGAGGAAATCCAAATCTGTTTTTTTTTTTTTTTCCTTTTCAAAACACTCGTATGGCATTTCTGCAGTAAATCCCAAAATTTTAAATAAAAAAAAATCCTTGTAAGTAGGCCTTTCGCTTGAGGGAATAAATGTAGAAAATGCTCGCATGAGAGCATGTCACACTAGCTCATTTATGTCAAAAAAAAATTCCAATGGATTTAGCTTATAATCTATTGGGAATTCACTTAAGTGTAAAATTTTCCCCTTTTTTTTTCAACATTCAAGAAAAAGCTTTTTCCTTTTGTCTTCTATGTCTAATTTTCTTAATGTTTAAAGAAAAACTTAAATATAGAAGGAAAACCATAGATGGAGCTTAATTAGGGTTAACTTAGCCTTCTTTAATCTTAATTAGAGCTACCAAGGTACATTTCATACGCCATTAACAGGCGACATGAGGTTGTGTATGGTTGTTTTTTCTTGGTACCTTAAGATACAAATTAAAAAATGAAAAATTGGATACATGAATACATCAGGTGAAGTGCATGTGTTTTTTCTCCATACACCACAGGTACGTATAGTAGTACGGTGTCTTTCGATTTACTTTACCACCCTTGGCGGCGTAGTGAGTAGATTATAAAAGCCGCATTACCTGACTTAATTGGATTATTAAATATAAATACACATGTACCGGCCACTATACACACATGGATCAGTGAACCATGTGTCATGAAATGTGATAAGTAACTTTAGTAAACAAACCAGCAAGGTAGAGAGTGGGTGGCATGGCTACTTTATTCCGCATTTTTTTTTCTGATTAAATCAGCCGGTTCTGATCCGGAACCGGCCCATCCGGACTTTTGTATATATATATATATATATTTATTCTTTGTTTTTTTAATTGGCCAGTCCACTCGGCTAGATCACTGATTTGAACCAATGATCCGTCACTTCGGACTGGTTTATCAGATGAGAGATCTAGGTCACCGATCCATATTGGTTGTGTTTAATAATTGGTAGTCAACTTTAAACAATTAAGGCATATCTTCAAACCCTGTTGGAAGATGTAGTTTTAGTTGCTAGAAACTCCGACGTTGCCTTAAAAAATTATGTCTTAGATTAAAAAATTAAAATTTCAAAATTATATGTCTTAGATTAAAAAATTGAAATTTGTCTTAGAGACTTGAGATCTTTTTTTCTCTTTTGATATTTATACATCTTGACGTCACGATGATTAATTAGAAGGCTTTCCAACAACAAAACAGCCTTTTATGATGGATTTTTGCGGTGCATTTTAATTCTATAGTTTAAAGTTTCAACTTTATATAAACTTTTTTTTATAAAAATACTATTTTTAAGATTTGAAATCATACCCTTCGTATCCAAGTCGAGATGATTTACTCATAGATTTTCCATTAAAAATAACCTTTTCTAGTGGGAATTTAAGTTGCACCTTGCTTGTATGGCATAAAATTGACACCTTGTATAACTTTATACGTTGTTAAATAATTATTAAATAGAGACGTATACATGTGTGATATAACATTTATAGTGAACCACGTGTCAAGAAATGGGATAAATAACTCTGTTAAACAAAATAACAAGGTAGAGAGTGGGTGCCATGACTTACTTTTTTTTCTTTATTTGACTCACATTAGTCTGCATTATTTGATATGTTTAATATTATCATGTATGCTTAAGTTAAGGTTTGAGATTCAATTTTGTATAACATCCAATACGATGTATGGCAACATTGACACGTTTCCTTACCTTTCCATGCAATTAACTAAAAAACATTTTTACAAAGCAATCGAATGTGAATCAGTTGTGATGGTAAAGGTGTGGAAATTAATGCTATTGATCCTATATCCTAAGGCCTGATACGGATAGGTTAATGCTATTAGAATATAAGATACCCCTGATCTTCGGTGTGATGCTCTCTCTCTCTCTCTCTCTCTCTCCACCAGGGAAACTCAGCCAGTCCAACTAAGAACCGGGCCGGTCAAACCGGAACTTGGCTGGGTATTTTAAAAAAAAATAAAGACAAATAAGGGATTTGTGTTTTTTTAATGTTTTTTTATTATTTTGAAAAAGATTGGAAAGTGTATTGGGAATACTTATTTTTATATTTTTTAATTTATTTTTAAAAAATTCAAAAATACTTTTTGATATAAATTGATTTTTTAAAATCTATTTTTTTTACTAACTTTTAACTTTGTTTGGATTATCATGTTTTAAATATACTTTTTATATATTTTTATATTTTTGAATATTGTTTTATTTTTTTTAACACTTTTTGGTTACTCGTAACTGGCCATTGGCCGGCCAGTTCAATTTTCGAACACTGCTCCGCACAACAGAATGCTTTGGATCCTACATCCTAATGGTTGATGCGAATAGCTTAATGGTATTAAAAGATAAAGATTATCCAGAGATGAGGTGCATTTGGTGCTCTCTCTCCCTCTCTCTCTCTCTCACAGTATCTCAGCTTTAGGACTCCAAAACAAGGAGGCATGGGCCTATGGGCGCGGCAACCTAATAGTTCAAATAGTTGGCTCAGGCTCTGGACTCGGCACTGGGCCGAGCGGATTTACTCGGCCAAGTACAGTAGGTTCATGAAAATGCCTTAGAAAAGAAAAAATAAAATATGAATATCCTAAAAATAAAAAAAGAAAAGGAGAAAGATGTTTCGAGCGAGAGAGAGAGAGAGAGTGCATTTGGGAAGAAAGAGGGAAGAGGAGGCTCTGCACGGGAGAGAGAGATGGAAAAGGGGGATAGATTTCTGCCTTCTGAAAGAGAGATGAAAAGAGGGGCGGATTTTTGGCCCGAGAGAGAGAGAGGAAAGGGGAGGGGAGAAATTGTGCCTCATTTACTCGGCCGAGTATCCGAACACTCAGTTCATACCCATGACAGATAAAGGGAAACTTACGTCTTATTTAGTATTTGAATGTCAGTCTTAAAAACGTATTTTAGACTAGATTTTGGTTTTTAAACCAATTTAAATTGAATCATTTTCGGTGTTTGGGCATTCTTTTAATTAGGATAAGCTTTGTATAAGGCGTCAACCTTTTACTATTGAAAGTAAGGTCAACCTCAAAACTATACCAAAAGTTGTCGGACCAGAGAGCTTTGCGATGAAACGAAAATATATTGCCACCCCTAATTATCAAATTTAAAGTTTAAAAAATGACGACGATAAAGTAAAACTATAAACACTTGAAAATCTTGAAGTAGAATAAGATATCTCTTTTTTCTTCATATCCATGAATTTCGAGATTGAGATAATCAATTTGAGGACTTTCTAACATCAGAACAACCTCCTCCAGTAGATTTCTGGTGCACCTTACTTATACAGTATAAAATTGACACCTTTTTCATTCTATTTATCAAAGAATTAAGCCAATTTCAAGTTGTTTAAATTCATGTTACCGGCCTAAAATTCACATAAAAGAGTTAGAATGACTAAAAGTCCCCTAGCTGCCTTTTACTGCAGTCATGTCACCAAAATTTGGCCTCTGCTACGCTACCTAAACTCACCTTGCTTTATACTATCAGTTCCTTCAAATTTTGACAGATTTCATTTTTGTCAACCACTCCCATTTCCCCAATTGTAATTAGTAGAGTAGAAGGACAATGATATTCACATCTATCAAAATCTCGTTTTCAGATTGAAGATTAGATGAAATTTGATGATGTTCCCATGAGTTTTCATCCAAGTTAATTGAGAAGCTAAAATATATCAATGATGTATCAACCGTTTTTAGGGATATTAGTTTCTTTATGATCTTTAGTCATCATCATCGTCAAAGCTTTTTTCCAACTAATTGGAGTCGGCTACACGAATTCTAGCCTGCCGAGATTTAATATTCATAATAAGTTTTGATAAAGTTTTATGTTGGTTGCCTACCTAACACAACCCAGCTCCTTTATCCGGGTATGAGACGAGTTTATGGAAAATTTTAAAGTTCTCACCCTTTTTAGGCTACTTTATGATCCTTGGCAAACAACCTATTAGGCTCCGTTAAAAGGTTGATCAATCTTGGGCTCTGTTTGCCTTAATAGCTCTCAAGAAAGTCCAACTCTAAGAGTTCTTTACCAAGTGTCTCCCCAGTTTTATCTCGGGAATATTCACCGAGATAGATATGGGGCCAGTGAGACACTTCTTAAAGAAACACTGCTAAAAGACAGTTGGAGCATCATATGACTTTGTTCGGCCTAGTCGAAACACTGTTAAAAGAAAAAGGTTTTCAAAGACCAACCTTTCACCGTGTATTTGTAGTTTTGCACTTAAGACATCTTGGTCCTGCTCTATATGTCACTATATTAGTGATTTTAGTTGCAAACGGTATACTGTCGCTGTTGGTTTTGGGTAGTTTGATGGGGGATGGGGTCCCCTACCTTTGATGGGAATGAAATTTAAGATATTACATTTTGGATACTTACTACCCTGAACACCTAGCCTTGAGCTCATTCTTACCATAAGATTCAATTATTAGAATGTGAATTAGTTTCATATTAGAATGTGAACTAGTTTCATAATTTGTTCGAAGATCATTGATCATTATTCAAAAGGATATGCAGTAATTTATAATGTCTTGCTATAGAGAAGTACGTTTCATAGTGTTAAGCTGAAAATTGAAAATTAAATGTATAATATTGTTTTAAGGCTTTAAAGAACCCTCAGGCCAATATCCAATGCTTGTGGTCATTGTTTGCATGTCTTCTTTCAAACTTATTTTTCACTCTTACGCAGCGGTCCATAGAAGATGGTGTCCTTGGAAATATTTTTCAGCTCTCCCATGACGGATCCTCACAAATGATGATTTATTCATGAAGAACTATCCGATTCAAATGGGCTATTTTAAATCGAACATTTTGAACATTGGTTTCACAGTGCTTACACTTAAAGAAGGCCTAGGCATGAGGGTTTCATCATGATTATTAATGTTGTCATATTGCTCAATATCAGTATCTTAAAATCCGAAGCCGACTCAGTCATCTACTGGACCTATTTGGATTGATGACCAAGGCCTGATCAGACTGATTAGCCGGTATGGGAATCTATCTCAAAAGAATGTATATATAATAACTTAAAGTTGAATTTTTTTGGAAAAACTAATACAAAATCAAAATGTGTGGGAACCTAGCAATTCAGACGATCTGGACCACTCGGTTCCTTGGTAGACTATCTTGGTTCTCTGATAGAATTGCATGAATGCATCAAAATCAGAAAGATTCCCAATTCCGATCAGGAATGTCGTCATCCCCACTAATTTTTGAGTTGGATCACCAATTCCTTATTCAGATCGGCGGCTTTTAAGTTGTTGCTAAATACTATATTGATTATCTTGCTTTCTATACCATTGATTGGTTCGAATCAATAATCATCGCTCTGAGAACTTGGTCAAAAAAAATCTCCATCAATTGTAAGGGATAAAAACCCAATTGATGGGTAAATTTTTTGATGTTTGCCATATTATAAAAAAAAAACGTATAGTCACTCTTGTCAGATTTCAAATCAGGTGTTTGTGAGCTTATTATTGATTAGACTCAAAGTTAAAAAATTAAAAATTAAAAATAAAAATTAAAAACTCTCAAACTTCCTGATACTCCAAACCATCCGATTTGACATTTAATGGCAAAGAATAATTGTGACCTCTTTATAACAAAGATAAATAATATAATAGTATACAACCCCTAATGTTAATAAAAGGGTTTACAAAAGAGATTCACTGTCGAATGAAAAGGCAACCAAACTGAGCCATTCTTCACTTTCGAATGGGCACAAGAAATAACGGCGCTTTCTTATTTTTGTATAATTTTTTGAAGTGGAGCCTTAGACTTCCAATTAAAAGGCCATCACTGCATCATGATAAGGACGATTGTGATCCTTTTGCTATGGTTTATAATTCAAAGAATGAATGAAAAAAAGAGGGAAATTTATCTAAATACTCATGGAAGATGAACTATTTAACATTCTTTCTATATTTTTTGTTTTAATTTCATAATACTCAATAAATGAGAAGTGAGCGTGAGGTGGAACAGTTGCAAATGAGTAAAATGTTCAAGAGTTCACCTCTTAGGGGTTTTTTTGATAAATTTCCAAAAATTGAAGATGAAGTTCACCAAACCTCTGGGATCAACATGTAACCAAAAAGCATGGAATCCAAGATAGGAAATTCAACTTTGAATTTTATAAATTTTGGAAACGAAATATTCTTAATTTCTCCTACCCAAACAACCTCTTACAGAGTTTGGTAAACTAAGATTGGTTGCCCATATTGTGTATGAGTTGCTGCTAAAGACTATGCCCATTCAGCAGTGTGACAAGTGAAATAAAAAACATCTTATTATTATCAATATTGTTAAAAGAAAAATGGTAATAAATATTGTTAAAAGAAAAATGGTAATAAGATCATTTATTTTTACCTTTAATACAAAAAAATCATAATTATTCAATGTACCACCGTTTCCTTGCAACAAACAACAATTAACTTAGCATGAAAGCTGTTGCGCTAACGCACATCCTTATTATGCAGACATGGCTTTGTAGCATACAACAAGCCTCAACATTTTATAAAGATGGTTTTTTCTTGGAATGTTTTAGAAAGACGGACCTATCGCTGCCTCACATGTCACTCCCAATGTAAACTAAGCTCTAAGGTCCATTCTTTTATATTTTATATATATATATATTTCTTTTTTTGAGAGGAGCTGGCATTAGAACCCAAGTCAAATCCACTTCTCATGTTCAATAGACGTGTTTTAAGCCACGGATTCAGGGACCAAGAACCAGTAAACACCTTTGCACATTCCACATGACATGATTCCATTCCTTTATTCCAAACCCAAATTTAATCATTTGGCAAACATACCCTAAAAACACTATATAAACCTCAGCACAAACCCTACAATCACACCACCCTAAACCCATCAAACCAAACCAGCAACTTAGTGCTTCGAGCCCACTTAACTCAATGGCCGGCAGCCACCTTTTCTCATTTGGGCTTTCTCTCTCCTTCCTCATAATCTCCCTCTTTCTCTCTCTAGCCCTCTCTCTAGAAACCCCACAAAACCCAACAAGCAGGAAGCTATTGGGCACCACAAGCCCAGCCACGGTGGCCCAATACCTTGTGCCCCACAACAAAATTAGGGCACAAATGGGGTTGACTCCATTGCAATGGGACAGCAAGCTTGCAAACGTTGCAAAATGGTGGGCAAACCAGAGGAGAGGAGACTGTGCATTGATTCATTCAACAAACAACTATGGTGAGAATATCTTTTGGGGTGCAGGGAAAAATTGGCAGCCAGCTGATGCTGTGACTGCTTGGTTTGCAGAGAGAGCTTACTATAATTATCAGACAAATTCATGTCAATCTAATGAGGATTGCACTCACTATACACAGTTGGTTTGGAGACAAACTTCTAGGATTGGGTGTGCTAAGGTTATTTGTGAAAGTGGGGATACTTTTATTACATGCAACTATGATCCCCATGGTAATGTACTGGGTCAGAAGCCATATTGAGAGAGGGTGAGTTTGGGTGACTTGTACTCTCTCTCTCTCTCTCTCTCTCTCTCTCTCTCTCTGTGTTTTCCTTTTAGCATAAGTGGTGGTTACCTGAAGAGATTGACATCTCTTGCACCTTTTTGTACTCTCTCTCTGTCACAGGATGTGAAGGTGTAAGGGTGACCCAGGTGGTGCTGGTTTCTCCATTGTTGTATTTCTTGATAGCTAAATAAAGTCAGAATTTGAGAAATAATGTGTTATTGCATTTACTAAAGAGAACACGAATGATTTGAAATCGCAAATTGAGGAGATATGCTACCTAGAGTAGGCCTTGTTGACTATTATGGATCCCTCCAATAACTTCTCCCTTTGAATGAGCATGCATCATGATGGGTCGCTTGACTCCAAGGACCAAATCCCCTAGTTTGAAGGAGAGGAGCGAATCTTAACTCTTTTTTATTAAAGCATGGGCTCATATGGGCTCGGTGCACTTTTAATCAAGGACCTCGAGCTCTTGAAAGTGGATTCATATACATCTACATCGCTAATCTCGTCTGTGTATGGTCCCTGCCATGAGCAAGGGAGTAAGATTTCGCATCTACGGATATTCATATGTGGTCCGATACGCCCACAAGACTTCTGGTTTCCTCTTGTGCTACTCCTACTTTGTACTGATTTTCAAAAGACTTTGCATACAGTTTTGTTGAAAAGCCTCGGCCAAGGTATTTGCTCTTCGGATGGTATATGGTTGAGTATTTCTATTTAAACTTTAATTTTTTCATCAGCTAAACTTTTGAATACTCATTTTTTATTGGATTTTTGACATGCAGGTTGCTTTTGTATAGTTAAGGTTGCAATCTTATATAAACTTTTTTTCTATTTAGTATTTTGAATATAAATAAAGCATTTAAATGTTCAATCGCTTACGGGGAACTTAATAATTGTTGTTGGACAAGGTTTTTGTGAGTCCTAGGGCTCACATGTAGACATGCGGGCTCCTTTTTTATCTATTTTCAGATGGGATTTGGACCTAATTTTTAGGTATAGATAGCCTCAAACGTGGAAATCATTAATATGTTTTAAAAAAGAGAAAAAAAGATATATATAACCTCTAACATGGAGATCATTAATATGTTAAACAAAAGAGAAAAAAAGATATATATAACCTCTAACATGGAGATCATTAATATGTAAAAAAAAAAAAATTTGAGAAAATTTTTAAACCATTAGATTTCATTCTTGTAGGAGGGACTATAACTTTATATCCATCTTAAGATGGATGTTTGATACCTTGTGGGACGCAAATGTAGAAATGCGTCCTCCGACTCATAGACTACTTTTCGATTTTTGTTTAGTTTATTGAAGGAAAAAGGGAGACCCATTCAATCGAGTAATTGGTTTGAACGGAACTCCCGCTCTTCACGCAGACTTTCCGACTAGAGAGAGACCATTGTTGCGCCCTACAATGTTTTTTAGAGAGAGAGAGACACTGCTGCACCCCTAGAATGTTTTCTAGAGAGAGAGTGTATATTTGTTCTCGTGTTTGCAAAATTGGTCATCCGTTTTGGAACCGGATCAAGATTGAGAATACCAAGCTGATGTGGATCTTATAAAATATTGGGAATCAGCTGGTTCCCCATAAACTGACCGGTTCTGGCTAGTCTGTACCAGTTCTATTAGAGAACCCCGTATGAATCGGCTGCACATTTTTTTTCATATTATTGTCATTGAACCTGCTTGTTTTATTCGGTTTCGGCTGGTTCTTTGACGAGAACTGGCAGGTTGTGTTAGAAAATCAGCAAGAACTAGCTCCACTTAAATTTTTAAATTATTTTTGTATAACCGATGCGGATCAACAATTTGCTGAACTGGATCAGGCCAATTCTATTAGCAAACCAGCCCCACTTAAAATTTTTATTTTTAAACTTTTTTTTTATGGTTGATCCATCCGAACTGTATTAAGAATCCACAGGGGCGTGCAATCCAAGTGACCGATCCATTTTTTAAAACCTTTGTTCTGTTTCACCCTCTAGACACTCCCACAATAATTCTTAGAGAGACTGTTGGTGTTTTCACCCCTCCTGCAGTAATGGATCTGCCACCCGCTTATTGCACGAACTAAAAGAAGAAATGGTTTCACGTCTCTATAAAATCTTTTAACTTTTCCATCTCTACGGGTTCGAATATATGTTTGATTCTGTCTAATCAAGGTTCTTCAAGAATCTGCGTGCCCTTTCTCTTGACATGCACTGTTTACTATGCTGGGGTGGCGATGTGCCTATCAAAATTTGGCCCAAGTTCCGGGCGTTGGTCAGGCCAAGAAAGGGTCCGCTCAGCCCTTCCCTTATTGTTTTTTAATCTTTTTTGCATTATTGTTCTTTAGTTTTGCCAGCCCTAACTATGGAATGGGTCGGATTCCTCTCGTTGATGGTATCTTGAATGTCTTTCCAAGTAGGTTTGGCAATGGGATTGTTAGCTTAGCCCGACCGGAGCCGGTTCGTTTGGTCCACGAAAATTAGGGCTTGGGCCGACGCCCCCAAGGGCAGGATTGGGCCAGTCCAGTCTGACAGGTTCGGCCCGGTCCAGCTCTTTTTCTCTTACTTTTTTCTTATTGTGTTTATCTTATAGGAAATTATCGCAAATATACTTTAATTTAAGTTTAATTGGAAAAAAACTCCAAACTTTCGTTTGTCTCTACACCTTTTTTCCTCATTTTTGGTTTTTTTGGACCAAAATGGCCTTCACCTTCATGGTACTCTTACTAACGTAATACATATCATTTTATACGGTATTTAAAATACCGTAGTAACTTCAAGTAATATGATGGTACTTTAAGTACCGTAAAACTCTGGCCATGACCGTGAAGCAAATTACGATACTTTAAGTACCGTAAAAGCTAAAACCCATAATACGGCATTTTAAATACCGTAAAAACTAACCAATCTTATATGGCATTTAAAATTCAGTAAATCCTTTTCTCATTATGTTTATCTATTTCATCTCTAATTCTTTTTATGTTTATCTTTTCTTTCTTTCTATAGTTCTTTTTAATATTTATCTCTTCTTTCTCTCTCTAATTCTTTTTATCTCTTCTTTCTCTCTCTACAATCTCAACATCGTTTCTTTAGATAGATCATGTCCTCTGTTTTGCATAGCCGAAGTCAATGTTTGATTACTCTCTCTAAAAAAAAAGATGATGAGATTGTAGAGAGAGAAAGAAGAGATAAATATTAAAATGAATTAGAGCGAGAAGGAATAGATAAACATAAAAATAATTAAAGATGAAAGAGATAAACAAAATCAGGTTTACGGCATTTTACGTGCCGTATAACGTGGATTAGTGTTTATGGTACTTAAAATGGCGTAAGGGTTTGTGTAAGTTACCGTATAAAATGCCCTCAGTACTACGGTACTAAAAGTACCGTATAAAATTCCCCAAGTATTACGGTACTACGATTATGGTGAAGGTCATTTTGTTATAAAAAAAAAGCCAAAAATGAGGAAAAATGGTGCAGACGGGATAAACAAAAGTTTGGATTTTTTTTTTTTCTAATTAAGCTTAAATTAAGTTATATTGATAATTTCCCTTATCTTATTTATTCTTGGACCTGTTTGACAGGGCCAAGGCCCTGCCTCCAGTGCCTGACCTATTTTCATTGATTTCTTTTCGGAACAATGGGATCCTAGTTTCATGTTTAGAAGGATCGTTTTCAGTCATATTTTTTTTTTATTTGGGTCAAGAAATGAGAAGTTAATGTGATTTTTCAAGCAAGAAAAGCTGCAAGCGTTGGAAGAGTTTTTCTCACTGGCTTTGGTTAGGACTTAGGGGTATCAGGGTAGTCTAGTTATAGAGATAATTCAAGGAAATGACAGTTACTAATAAAACTTCTGGAACCAATAAAAAAACAAGGAAACAAGCAAGAGGGGAGGAGTAGAATAGAAATTAGAAAAAAAAAAAGAAAAAAAGGATGAAGGATGGAGTAAAGGCAAAGCAACTCTTGATTGAGAAACAAAAATGATATATTTGAATTATATAATTATAATTTCATATTAGGGAGAGAAAAGTGCAGAAACTTTGTATTATTCTTGAGCTTGGAATATTAGTCCTTCACTTCTTTGACCTGTGTACTTGTCCATGCATAGACGTGTTGGAGTGATTACCTTGTGGGGTCCAGCCCCATAAGAAGTGAAAGAAAAAAAAAATAAAAAAAAAAAAATAAAGAAAGGGTTAGAGAGAGAGAGAGCATAAAGGATGTTTTAAAAGATAAAGCACAATATGTGTTTTTTAGAGACACCATTTACAAGCAAAGATAGGGTTCTTTGAAGGCTCTTGGAGAGAAAAAAGAGCAGATTTGTAGAAAAGTTTCGATCACCATTCTCAGGCCATCTAGATGCCATTTTTTGCTATCTTTCACACTCTACACTTAGCAGGAAAACTAGAATAGCTAGTGTGCTCTCCAGTTGTTTCTCCGAGCCATTAGAAGACCATCTTTGGCGCTTTTTTTGAGGTGGGAAAGAGATGATCTTGTTGGTGCTTGTGAGGTAACTTTGTATCATCTCCAAGTTATTGTTGTTCTCTCATTTGATTGTAAGCCCCAAGTTTTGAGCAAAAACTTAAAAAGAAACTATAGTGTAACCCTCATTTGTTTTTAGTGGATTTCTATCTCATATTTGCCCCGTGGTTTTTCCTTTAAATCTTGTGTTGTGATTGTGCTTGGTGGAATTTTTTTTTCCCTTTTTGTGATTTGTGATTTCTATTTTTCTTGGCACTTAGCAAATTGCCCATTTTCAATATTTGTAAAACATACATTGTAGGATATGTTTTTATATTTGATTCACACATAAAAGGGAAGGGCATTGCTTCCCAACAACTGGTATTAGAGCATTTGCACATCAAGTGTTTATTTTTATTCGCGTGTAAATCAAAGGTAGTAGCAAATACCTCTACACGGATGATTAATTTGAATGGGGGTCATTGGTCAATTTGGAAGGCCAAGATGGAAGACGTTCTCTATTTTAGAGACTTCTATTTACCAATTGAGGGGATAGAGAAGATGCCGGAACCATCACCGATGATGATTGTAAGAAGTTAAACCAGAACGCAATTGCTTGCATCCGGCAATGATTGACTGATACCGTGTTGCACCATGTATCAACGGAACTAGTGCAATTTCCTTATGGAAAAAATTGCATGATTTGTATGAGAGACAGACGGCCGGAAATAAGGCATTTTTAATTAGAAAACTTGTAAACTTGAAGTTTAAGGAGAACGGGTCGATTGTGGAGCACTTGAACAAAATGCAAAGCATTGTAAATCAGTTGGCGGCTATGAAAAAAGTATTAGATGATGAGCTGCAAGCAGTATTGTTGTTGAGCTCATTGATTGACACTTGGGAGACCCCTTGTTGCGTCATTTAGCAACTCGACACCCAATGGGATTGTTACCATAACTCAAGTTACAAGAAGTTTGTTGAATGAAGAAGTGAGAAGAAAATCTTCAGATTCCTCCTACTCACACGCATAAGTAACTGAAGAATGGGGGAGACCGAAGAATAGAGAAAATCATAACCGAAGCAAATCCAAAGTAAGATCCAAGCTGAGAAAAGAAGTGACTTGTTATTATTGCAAGAAGCCCAGACATATGAAGAAGGAGTGTCGGAAGTTCAAAAGAGATCAAAAAGAAGAAAAATATGATGATGGAAACAAAGAATATCAGGAAACCACTGCAGTTTCATCCGAGAATATTATACTCTTCACGACATGTGGTGAAGTTTGTGTTAGTGCAGCATGTGAAGATTCAAATTGGGTGATTGATTCAGGAGCATCCTTCTATGCTACTTCACACAGAGATTTCTTTACCATGTACAAGTCGGGAGACTTTGGTTCGGTAAAAATGAGAAATAATGGAGTATCTAAAATTGTTGGAATGGGTGATGTTTGCAGTACTACCAATACCGGCTGCAACTTGGTCCTCAAGGATGTGAGACATGTTCCAGACCTTAGATGGAGATGAATCTCATCTCAATAGGAATGCTTGATGATGAAAGGTATGAGTCACAATTTGGCAAGGAAGTATGGAAGTTGAAAAATGGCTCTCTTGTTGTGGCAAGAAGTAATAAATGTTGCTCTCTCTACAAGATCGAAGCCCAGCTATCCAAAATTGAGGTGAACACTGCCTTTGAAGAATCTCTATCTGACTTGTGGCATCAGTGACTTGGTCACATGAGTGATAACGGTTTAGAGATTTTGGTGACGAGAAATTCTCTTCCAAGTCTCAATGGTACATCCTTAACTCCTTGTGATAATTGTTTAGTAAAAAAACATCATATAGTTTCCTTTTCACATGTTAAAACTAAACGAGATACTGAAATACTTGATTTAGTTTACTTTGATGTATGTGGCCCTAAGATTGTGAAAACTCTTGGTGGTGCTTTGTATTTTGTCACTTTTATTGATGATGCATTCAGGAAAGTTTGGAGCTTTGCCATGACGAGCAAAGACCAAGTATTTGAAATTTTTCAAGTCATGGTTGAAAGACAAACATCAAAGTCCTTGAAATGCCTTCGCATAGATAATGGTGGAGAGTATACCTCAAGGAAGTTTGAGGACTATTGTGCCAAGCATGGCATACGACATGAGAAGATTGTTCTCTCTACACCGCAATATAATGGTGTTACAAATAGAATGAATCGTACCATAGTTTTCCTCAGCTAAGTTACCGAAGGAGTTTTGGGGTGAAGCTATGAATATGGCGTGCTACTTGATAAATCTATCTCATTCGGCTCCATTGGAAGTGGATGTGCTAGAAAGAGTGTGGACCGACAATGATGTATTCTACTAACACTTGACATTCTTTGGATGCAAGGCTTTTATACATGTAACTAAAGAGTGTTGAAGCACGTTAGATGACAAAGCAACCCAACGTGTATTTCTGGGTTATGGAGATGATGAATTTGGGTACAGATTGTGGGATCCCAAGGCCAAGAAGTTGTATAGAAGCCGAGATGTGATCTTTCGTGAAAACCAAACACTTTTCGATTTTGATAAGGAGAACCGCCAAAGAGGCTTGTAGATATGTTACTAGAAGCACATGCCCTTTTACCCATACATAATGATGATGGGAAGCAAGTTCTAAATGAAGATGACCAAGTTTAGAGTGGTGAGATTCCTCAAAATGATAATGTACATGGTGATGTTGAGTAGGGGGAGCTGCCTTCTCAAGAAGAACCACCTATGGTAAGAAGGTCACAAAGGGAACGAAAAACCTCAACAAAATATACATCATCAAAGTATATCACACTCATTGAAAATGATGAAGTAGAAAGTTTGAAAGAAACTATGGTACATGAGCAAAATGAACAATGGAAGAAAGCCATGCAAGAAGAATTTGAATCCTTGCATAAGAATAAAACCTGTGACATGTTGAGCTACTAAAAAGACGAAAAGCTTTGCAAAACAAGCGAGTATTTAGGATGAAAAATGAAGATGACAATAAGAAAATGAGGTACAAGGCAAGGCTGGTTGTTAAGGGATTCGGGCAGAAAAAATGTGTTGATTTTGATGAAATATTTTCTCTCGTTGTGAAGATAACTTCTATTCACACCATCTTAGGTCTAGCTGCTAGTCAAGACTTGGAGATTGAGCAGGTAGATGTCAAGACAACTTTCTTACATGGAGATCTAAAGGAAGAATATATATGGAATAACTAGAAGGTTTTTTAGTGAAGGGCAAGGAGCACATGGTATGCAAGTTGAAGAAGAGCTTGTATGGATTGAAGCAAGCTCCATGACAATGGTACAAAAGGTTTGACTTTTCTATGATGAGTCATGGTTTTACTATAACCGCTGCAGACTACTGTGTTTACCTTAGAAAGTATTCTGAGTCTTCTTTTATTATTCTCATATTATATGTTGATGATATGTTTATCGTTTGTCAAGATGCTAATTTGATTGACAAGTTATAGAAAGAATTGAACAAGGTTTTTGACATGAAGGACTTAGGGGTTGCAAAACAAATTTTGGGCATGATAATCAAGCGTGATAGAAAGAACAAAAAGTTGTGGCTATCACAAGAAAAGTACGTTGAGAAGGTACTTGAAAGATTCAACATGAAGAATGCCAAGCCAATCAGTACACCATTAGCTAAACACTTCAAGTTGAGTGCAAGTTATCTCCAACCAGCAGTGAAGAGAAGAAGAAAATAGAGAAGATCCCCTATGCATTAGCCATAGGGAGTCTGATGTACGCTACAGTGTGCACAAGGCCTGACATAGCACGTGATATCGGTGTAGTTAGTAGATACTTGGCAAATCCAAGCAAACAACATTGGGAAGTTGTAAAATGGATTCTAAGGTATCTAAGATGCACATCTAAAGTTTGTCTATGTTTTGAAAACTCATCACCCTTGGTAGAAGGCTATACGGATGCGGATATGGCAGTAGATCTTGATAAAACAAAGTCTACTTCAGCTTACTTGTTTACTTTTGCAGAAGGAGCCATTTCTTGGCAATCAAAGTTGTAAAAATGTGTAGCACTCTCGACTAGAGAGGCAGAATATATTGTTGCCACAGAAGCCTGTAGGGAGATGCTATAGTTGAAGCATTTTCTTATGGAGTTGAGTTTGAAGCAAAAGGAGTATGTAGTTAGATATGACAGTCAAAGCATCATTAATCTGAGCAAGAATGCTACATTCTACTCTAGGGCCAAGCATATTGAGGTGCGGTACCATTGGATTTGAAATGTCTTAGAAAATGAGTTGATAAAGATTTGTAAAATCCATACCGATTAAAATTCGTCAGACATGATGATGAAGACATTACCAAAGGAGAAGCATGTGCTATGCGAAGCTTTGGCAGGCATGGGTGCTACAGTATGGGGGAGCCCTCCTCATGGGCCTGGAGGGGGAGTTTGTTGGGATGATTACCTTGTGGGATCCAATACCATAAGAAGTGAAAAAAAAAAAACCCAACAAAATAAGAAAGGGTTAGAGAGAGGGAGAGCGGTTTCTAGAGAGAGAGAGAGAGAGAGAGAGAGAGAGAGAGAGAGAGAGAGAGAGAGAGTAGTAGGTAGTAAGTAAAGTAAACGTAAAACGTTAAAGGTTTAAGTAAGTACGTACTATAGTACGAAGACGAAGTAGTTAGGTTACGTTAG